AAATATATTTTGTACGGTGTAAAAAGAGAATATTAATGTTACAAAGTAGGATTATTCGAGATATTTCGAGAGAGATTATATTCGTAGATAATATTTTCTAATTCGTAGGTAGCATTGTTTGTAACAACGGTACCGTCACGCTACTAGATTTCAATTGCACGGAAAAGCCAGCATAGTTCCGCGACACAATTCCCTGGGTTTGCCTATCCTGACAGCTTGTTTTGTTCATAACATATGTATATATATATACATACATACATACAGCTGGACAATGAATTGGTGTTTGTCGAAGCGTGTGAGAATGAAAAATGTGAACTCATCGAAAATCATGCGAGCCCAAACGTTACACGTTCTACGATATTCGTGGCAAACAACAACAAAAATGTGTTTACGTTTAGAAATTTATTTATATATAAATAAATTTAACTATGAATATTCGATTTGAACTGGAATAAATAATAGAAAAAAATAAATAATAAAAAAAGAAAAAATTTACAGACGATACAACGCGGTGTTGGCAAACGTTGTCCTGTCTTTGCTTTGAAAAAAAAATAAAGTTAGTTGCCAACCCCATAAATTTATTAAAAAATGAGAACAATTTGAATAAGAATAATGGTTTATTAGGAGTCTACGTTATATCTGGTTAGTTACTTAATTAAATTATCGAAATGTGAAACCAATAAAGTCGATAAATGTCTTCCAGCGATTACATAACAGAAAACGATTTATTTCGATTATTTATTGTTAAATGAATATCGAGGTTTTACGTGTGAATTATCAATACTGTTTGGATGATAATGAATTATTACATTTCATATACATACGTGATTTTAAATGATAATGATAAAACAATAAAAGAAACAAATGGAGAATATTTTCATAAATTTGATTAATTTTAATCGAATTCAATATGCGAATATGATCGTTTCAAAAATCATATTACAAAATTAAATTTAATTAAATTGCATACTTAAAATGTTTTTTTCTTTAATATTTCATTTTACCTGTGTTACTAATTACTGTAATGTAATTATTGACACCTTTGATAATGATTAATATAAAATTGTAAGAAGTTCGATACATTTACTGATAATTACTGGATAAGTTATTGTAGTGTTGGAACTTGAATGTGTAAGGGTGGTTATAGTATTAGGGGTTAATTCTAAGAAGATCAATAGGGTGTTTTCTTGTCAGTCTTCTTGGGTAACAATAAGGCTTGAGTAACAGTTTTTTTTTTGCGAGACTGTTAATATGAGTAGAAATTAATTACATTTACTTAATATAAAATTTATTAAGAACTATAAGATTAATCAGGATTACTTAAGAATTTAAATAATATATGTATGTACTACCATAATTGCATTTTCCTATTAAAAAAATCAATCATCATAGGTTTTA